AGCTTTTTCAAAGTCAATTACTAACATTATATTGTCCAGCATTCCAGGTATATTTTGTTTTTCAGTTTCGAACAGTACATCATGGAGTAGTCTTATGTTTTCTCCAATAGATCTTCCTTTTAAGAAGCCTGTTTGGTCTTCGTGAATGATACTGTCTAAGACTAGTTTTAGTCTTTCAGCAATGCATGATGATATGAGTTTATATGAGATATTTAGAAGAGAAATAGGGCGCCAATTTTTTAGATAGTTTCGAGGTCTACCTGGCTTTGGTAGACATGTGGTAACGCCTTGTTTTTTCGTTATGGACAGGTTTTTATTTTCATAAGCAAAATTTATAGATTGAAGAAGAAAGTATCCTATGTCTACCCAGAAGAATTTTAGAAATTCTGCAGTGTAATCATCCAGTCCTGGACTTTTGTTATTTTTTTACCGTCTTAAAGCGTTTAGAAGAGCTCGGTGTATGCTAGGTCCCTCCATATTATTTTTTTGCGATTCGGACAGAAGTGGAATATTTGCCCGTTGCAGTTTGTCAAAATAAATATTGTTATCCACCTCAACATGCTTTTTAGTGCAAAGAAACTCGTAGAAGTTTTTTTGCATGTTTAAAATTTCCCTTTGTTCCGAAACAGTGGTTACATCCTCCCGTTTTATTTCATTCATGATTTTGTTTGTATACTTTCTATTTTCTAGGTGAAAAAAATAGGATGATGGTTTTTCCCCTAGTTCATACCATCTAGCTTTGGATCTGATCATTATGCCCTGGATCTGTTTATTTCTAATCTCCTCTAGTTCTAAATTGAGATGTTCTAAAGTGTCTAAATTTGTGTTTGGAGTTCTGGGGGTCCATTTTAATTTTGTCATCCAGAACTTTAATTTTAGTTTCTATTGAGCGTTCTTGCTCATTGCTTAACCTTTTTTTTGAGGAATAGTGTATAATTTTTCCTCTTAGTTGGACTAGGAGTTTCCCAGAAGAGCTGATCATCTATTGTTAGTTGCAAGTCATTTGTAGGATAGGTTGCCACGTATTCAGGATTATAGGGGGAGGCTGCGTATGTAGATTTTTATTAAATAGATTTCGTTTTTTATTAGTTCTACAAATTTCTGATCTTTTCGAAGGGAATTATTAAACTTCCAGTATCCTTTGCCATGTTCATTTGTTGAGGTGTTTAAACCAATTGTTACTGGAGCATGATCTGACTTACATTATCTAAGATATAAGATTCAGAGAAATTTGACATCATGTCCTCTGTGGCCAAAACAAAATCCAAGCGGGCCATTTTTAATGGATTTTTTTTACCCCAAGTAAAATGTGCTTTATCTTCGTTAAAAGCTCTCCACACATCTACAAGTTTATTGATGGTTTTATAATTTAATAGATCTTTTGTGGGATCTATTACCAAATTCCAGTCTCCACATAGTATAAAACTGTCATTCTCAAACTCTTCGACAATATTCATTATGTTGGTGTAAAAATCAGGCTTATCTTCATTTGGACCATAGAGATTTGCTAAGGTAAATCTCACGAGTTATTTATGGTGATATCAAGGATGATATAGTTTTCATTTTTATCTTTTTTGCTTTTATGTATTTCATACTCAAAGCCATTATTAAATAGAATAGCAACTCCCCTAGCCTGTGACGAATAGGGGCATATTAGACATTCAAGGCCCCATTCTGCTTTTACATAGTTTTCCAGTTTGGGAGCAATGTGTATGTCTTGTAAACAAGTGATATGTATGTTTTGTTCACGAAAGCGTTTAAAAAAATCCCTACGCTTGATCCGATCTCCAAGTCCCCTACAGTTTAGTGTCTGTATGCTAATATAGGCATTTTGTTTATATTTTAAAGTTGAAAAAGTAGGTTTTCAACTATATATAGACATGGGTATGTGGAAAACAGTGAAGGTATAAATTGTTGAAAGACATTTAGGAGCATTGCATTGGTTTTGGGGATCTAGAAACAAGTACGCGTAACATTTGGAACAGACAGAACATACATTAAGGCAGACAGAACATGCAAGCCTGTTGTGGTCCATCAACAGGTGTTCTACCGTGGCAGGACTCCTGTGTATATCTAACACAAGCATGCAACATAAAAGGAACAGACATAAACTTCCCGTTTTGGACATCATTTCAATTTGTGGTTTGACGTAAACCACCGGCTCCCCATTACGAGTATAGTGCATTTTGTATCATACGCATATTACACTGTACATAAAAAAATACGTGCACAAGCCGTACATACATGTACTATGGTCCCTAAATAGCCATACACATGAACGCGCACACCGCAGACGAAAGTCACAAAGTGATTCACGAGTGCTACACGATAGTGATTCACGAGTTTTGAATCTGGGAAAACGTCATTTTCACAGCTGAAAGGTCTACTTAAGCCTACCTGGCTATCGTTCCTGAGTTTCCTGTCGTGTATACGTTGTGGAATATAAACCTGAAAGAGCCTTATTATGTGTTTTGTTTTTGATTGGTCGGCGGGTACGCTAGCTGGCTACTGGTCGATTTGAATCACAGATATATACCCAACACACTGCACTGTTATACTGATATACTGTATATATCTGTGATTGAGTGCATTTGCTGCGATGTATTTATAATAGGGACACAACTATATATTGTAACCAACAGCTGCCACAATGACAGGTATACGGTATATGTAGATAAGATGCATTAATGCTTGATTTAAATCTAAATACAGGGGACAGTCATTGTTATTTATGATTACGCACATATTACTGGTCAATGACTCGTATCGTCCAGGGGAGTTGAGCCGTTCTTCCTCGTCTCTAACCATACTTCTGCGCCTTTCTCCCTGATACGCGTATATATATGCTCGTCCCGACGGATTTCGTAGGCGATGCTTGCGAGTTTCCCCCTCTTTCTTTTCAATTCAGGCGGCAGGTCCGTCCGCACACTCATCTTCGTTCCCTTGAGATTAGGACCGGCTCGCAAGAAAGCTTCCCGTTCTCCCCAGTGTAGGAAAACCACAACTATAGTCGCCAGGGCATCGTAGCGCTTTTGGAGGCGATGGGCATTACGGATTACAATACGATCGACGAAAACACTTTCCAGTTTGAGATTTTCTTTGGCAAATTTTCGGACCCTAAATATCGTATCTTTCGGATCAGTTTCGTGGCCGTCCTCCACCCCGTAAAGCAACAAGTGGTACTTCCTAGAATATGTCTGAGTCGAGAGCAGTGAGTACTTGAGTTCCTCAATTTCTTCCTTCAGTTTTTGTATCATTGCGCCGTCGTCTTTTTGCATTTTTTTCACAAAGTCGATTTCGAGTTCTAGAGCCTCAACTTTGTCCGTAAGTTTCGATATATTGGCGTTTAGTCCATCGAAATCCGCCGTCAGTTTGTTGTCTAGACTGTTTGCTTTACTGTCTAAGCTTTTTATCAAGTTGACAATATCCATCATTGTAGGTTCTTTCTCAGCCTCGCTCGCCATATTTTCGGCCATGTTGTGCACGAGATTTGCTTGTGGGTCGTCGTAGCCGGAGATATTTATTCTTTCGGCACTTCTAGAGCTCGTCCGCATTCCAAAATAGGTTCTTATCGTTGGCGTGTCTCTCGGGCAAGTTTTTCTTTGCATACTAGCTCAGCACCTTACAGTTTTCATTTAACTTTCTGATGATATTTGAGGAGCCGATGTGAAACACGTTCTAACACCACGCCGCCATTACCGGAAGAGTGTGGCACATAGTGTTGGCCATTGAATAAGGTTAAAAATGACCTTAAACTCAATAACTCAATAAGTGCCTGAAAACATTAATAGTATGTGGTATCCTCACTATTAAGTTTCGATACAAGAAACATGGTGTAGTTTTCTATCATCATCAATATATGCATCATCATCATCGGAACTACCATCATAGACCGTCTTTAACAACATGAATCACTCACCACACAATTCTCACACTATCTTGTATCTTACCTTCTTCATTATCCGACTGCTTTCTTCTCTTCATGCCAGCAAAAGGGTCTAACCCTTCGAACAAGGCTACCCCACCGACCGGCTTTTTACGGATGGGGCTTCCAGAAAACGATGAGGAGGAAGAAGGCTCCTGAAATCAACATCCACATGTGCCCTCACTCATTCAGTCCTTTTAAATGTAACTTGTGCACTCTTGGTCATCTCACAAATGTACGAAATCCATGCTCCAGGCAGTAAGTAGAAATGCTCAAAATCACACAAAAAGGTGAATCATATCCAACCACCCTTACCTCTGATGACGATCGACTACTAGAGATGTTCCCTGGTGGCTGGTTAACCTCTGCATCCTGCATCTCTTCCTCAACCGGCAACTGCATTGCGAAAGTTTTTGACGCGACCTTGGGCGGCTTCCTCACATGCTACAAATGCACCATCAAACTGTATGTAGGTATGGGTACAATCATTGTGTACATTTAACAAGTGCCGCGGAGCGACAGCGCTCATCTAACGTCTACTGAGGTGACTCTGTGGTGGAGTGGTGGGATTCTAGTAAACCCTGTTAGTCCCAAATGTGTTCACATACACGCCGAAAGCAGTGGAATCACAGATTGGTATCAGGAACTCTCAAAGGAATGTTCGTGGTATTGGTTATGATAGTTCCGACGAGATTGCCTACGTTTTTAAGTGTTCTCAATTAAAGATGCGAGCTCTGCATCGTACGATAGCAACAACTAATCTTTCCAACGACAGAATAGTAACATCCAGCCATTTACCCTACGCAAGCCATATCACGCTGCAAATGTCAATAGAGAGCTGCCACCTGTAACCATTACCCAGGCAAAAACTGCACCACCACATGCCCCTCTGCCGGACGGGAGCCGACTCGCAGTGGCGCTACGGTGTCGCGTACATGTAACATACTGACAGTACGCACGCAATTCCAGTAGCAATGGATAGTGGGGCGATTTAATTGGAACATACACCTTCTTTAGAGGAACCAAATGTTTCAGCTTTGAGGAAATTTGCGCTGTGACGATTGAGGATAGCACGTCAGCATGTATAGATTCTACTAGCAAACCCGGCAGTAATTCTTTCTACCAGACCAGTCAACAAATCCAAGTTAACACCTCCTGCTCTAGCGTCAAAAGGTTATTCCGACCTCTACTCTCCCGCACCTCGCTCCCCAGCAAACAGTAGACTCTTCACACCCGTTCCCTCCTCCTAATACATGCCATACCAACAATGCCTAGGTCACCCGCTGAATACAAGAAAAGTTCTCCAATCGCGTCCGCGTCAGACCCCATGTCCTGCAGCAAATCTACCAACCCTATTGCCCTGCTCGCCCACTTGACCTTCGACACACTATCACGGAGCCCTAGTCGAGCCATTCAATCTGTGCCGCAATCCTTCTCTGCCCCATTTCTCCCTCATACCCCCCTTACTCCACGCCGCCGAATGTTCCCGCCTTCTTTTACATACCTCTGGACCTTTGACCCTTTGACCGCTCAGCTCGACATCCAACTACGTTCTTGACCAGCATCCCCCCCAATCGTGCCCGAATATGTGCACCCGTCCACGTCCGACGCGATTAAGATTTGTGCCCTAATGTTGACAGAACGCACGGGACGCACGGACGCCGCCCACGATCAAGCCGATTCACAGAGCTTGCCATGACCAGTCCAGATAGAGCACCAAACCTAGTCACAAGTTATAACAATTAGACGCTTCGCAGTTAACAACCAAATACCCAGTTCCTTCCTCGCTTTTATCTTAAGCATTTATGTCTCTCTTCATGACCTGCCTGTTAGAACTCGCAGTCTGCATTCAGACGCCTATCTAGGAGACGACGTATCTACTCGGTAACATTCTCAGTAAGACTAACACTAGCTAATGCGTAACATGATTCTTCACGTCCAGCTATGCAGTTACTCACTTTCTATGAATCTCAGATTGTAGCTAACGCCAACATAATCACCCAGCTCAGGCGCTTACCATACTTGGTATCCAACCCGATAGGCGCTCCATTTTACTGTTCCCCTATTTTTTTCTCCTCTTAGCTAACCAAGCAGACTCTTCTCTCCGAGATTATCAAAGCCAGCGCATGCCTCCAAGCTTTTACCTCGAGCTTCCCTGTCATAAAAAACACGAAGCAAAAGTAATAAGGACGAGATACACTAACGCATCACGAAATTCATAGTCATATTTCATTAATATTTACAGTTCAATAAGAAGATTTTTAGAAATAGTCCTTATTTATAAACAATTCACAACTCAAGACAATTCGGATCACGTGATTTTTACAGGCATAAGTTCATCTATAACAAGAATTACCTAAGCCGAACATTCTTTAACGCTAAGACCTAGTTGCTTAGCGTTCAATATTATATCGGACTGCATGGACCTAGCGCAACAACCAGTTCACATACGCACGAAAGCTAGTCGCAGCGTGCCGCGGGGTGGCAGCGTAAGCAAACATGTCTGCTTCCGGCTCCTTCTGCACTAAACTGTGCTAACGAGGTCAGAGAGTGGTCGTGCGCTCTTTCCTTCTCGCTACTCGTGTGCTGTTTGAGCGCCCATCTCGCTATTGGCGTGGCCTCACCTGTCCTTCATGCCGCTCCTCGCTCATCTTCACACCTCGTCAACTCTGGGTGGACGTTAGGCTCTTATTGCTCGCAGACAAACGGGTTCTTGTGCATTGCCAAAAAAACTTGGATACTGTCACTTAGCTTGGAGCTGCGCGACATACCAGAGCACATTGTCA